AACCTGTTCCTCGCTCACTTCATTCATGATGACACCGATGTGTCAATCAGGACACTCTTTGATGAGAAATAGGAAGACGACGAGATGGTCGACGACTTCATCAAGCGCTTCCATAATAAGGTGATGAATTGCCAAGATCCGATCACAGAGGACTTCATCCTCCAAACATGCCACAACAACCTCTCTTTGGACTTGTTGGAAGTTATGAGAGTAGCACCGTCCAACACCTAGAAAAAGTTCAAAGTGTACGGAGAGCAGGCCAAGCGCTTCCTCAGAAGGAAGAAAGCCGAGCGAAGCCAACCAACGACTAACCCTCCAAATTCAAGCTTTGTCTCCCGTGGTAAATGGAAGGCCCCTGCAGCTGCTGTTAATGCTAATCAGACTCCACAATAGCAATCCCGAGAATAACAAAAGACTTCAGGTCCGAGACTCCAAAAAGAGTACTCCTTCAAGGATGAAGACGTTCCAGCTATTTTTGAATCCCTCCTTGAGAACAATAATATCAAGCTACTACCTATCGCAAATCAGGAGAAAGCTGACAATACTACGGATCCAAAGTACTATGCGTACCAAAGGAGGATCATTCATCCCACCAAGGCTTGCTTCGCTCTCAAGAATAGTATCCAAACCCTGGTTGAAACTAGCGTCATAACGCTAAATTAAGTCGAATCAAGACTCCAACAAGTATAAGAGTATAAACTGCTTCTTCCGACACCTTGAAGAGTATACGAGTATAAAATATTTCTCAATATTCCAACAAGTATATAAGTCTAAACTATTCCTTTCTTTCACGGGAAGTTCATGAAGAGTGTCATGCCTGCTATTCGTAAGGATAACCCGGTTATCCAACTAAATACAATGTTAGACCCAGTTTCACGAAGGAAGCTGGGGGTAGATGATTCATGTAATGGGAAGTTCCCGGAAGAATGTTACATGTAATATTCTTAGGGATAACCTGGTCATTACAAACAAAGTGATAAACACTAAACTCCCGCTGTTAAAGTCCTGACATAGCACTAGAAATTTTAATTCAAACGGTCTATTGCGATTGTCAAATTCCCTTCGTGTCAAGATCTCGTCATTTAACATCGAAAACCCCCACTGTGATTTATAATTTCACTCCCACTTGGTCAAACCTTTAAACAGTTAGGACCACAACCAAAATCCCCTCTCGATTCTTTCTATGAACGAGAGGTCCATAAATTGAACGATCAAACATTTAAATAGTTAGGATCGTCTCAAATCCCCCATTCGGTCAAACCTTCCTACATTTAGGGCCACAACCAAAATCCCCTCTTAATTCCTTCTATGAACGAGAGGCCCACCTTCAAATCGAGTGATCAAACATTCCTACAGTTAGGGTCACCTCAAACTCTCGTTTGGTCAAACCTTCCTATAGTTAGGGTTAAAATCACAATTCACTCTCAATAAACAAGAAATTCATCTTTAGTTCAGTAATCAAACCTTCCGACAGTTAGGATTATCCGAATATTTTTGATTCTCAGAGTGGAGATCTCACTCTTAGTTTCACTCTCCAGATTCTCGAAGTGGAGATCTCACTTTGAGTTTCCTTTGCAACTGGAGACGGAAAATAAAATTCTTGCTCTCTAGCATCGTGTTCTTCTTTGCCCTAAGAGAAGACACTACTTTTCAACTCCCAAAATTTGCGCCTCACACGTGCTGGATAAGTCAGCGCTTAACACATGTTGTCGGTTAGTCCTTGACCATAAAAAGGACAAAAGCGCACATATTCGACATTATGAAAGATTGTTATTAATAACACCATATTCCATACCTTACACGTATGGAGAATTTTATTCTGAATCCTAAGTAGGGATAAGTTAACGCTTAACACATGTTGCCGGTTTAGAATTTCACCGAGTGAAGAAGACACAAAATATAAGTCTAGGGAATTTTATCCCGAATTCTAAGTAGGGATAAGTCAACGTCTAATACACGTTGTCAGTTTAGTCTTTCACCGATTAAAGAAGACACCAGAATTTGAGTCTGGGAACTTTTATCCCGAAGCCTAAGTAGGAATAAGCCAGTGCCTAACACGCGTTATCGGTTAGTCTTTTGCTGTAAAAAGGATAAAAGCCCACATATTCAATATTGTGGCATGTTGTTATTCATAACGCCAAAATCCGTGCCTTACACGCGCGGGGAACTTTATCTCGACTCCTAAATAGAGATAAGTTAACGCCTAACATGCCTTACCAGTTTAGTCTTTCATCGATTGAAGAAGACATCAGAATCCGAGTCTAGGGACTTTTATCCCGAAGCCAAGTAGAGATAAACTAGCACCTAACACGCGTTGTCGGTTTAGTCTTTCACCGATTAAAGAAGATACCAGAATCCGAGTCTGAGGACTTTTATCCTGAAGCCTAAGTAGGGATAAGTCAGCGCCTAACACGCGTTGTCGATTAGTCTTTTGCAGTAAAAAGGACAAAAGCCCACATATTCAACATTGTGGCAGGTTGTTATTCATAACACTAAAATCCGCACCTTACACGCGTGGGGAACTTTAGCTCGACTCCTAAATAGAGATAAGCCTATGCCTAACATACGTTACCGGTTTAGTCTTTCACCGATTGAAGAAGATACCAGAATCTGAGTCTGAGGACTTTTATCCCGAAGCCTAAGTAGGGATACGCCAGCGCCTAACACACGTTGCTAGTTAGTCTTTTACCGTAAAAAGGATAAAAGCCCACATATTTAACATTATGGTAGATTGTTATTCATAACACCAAAATCCGCATCTTACATGCCCGGGGAACTTTATCTTAACTCCTAAATAGAGATAAGCCTACGCCTAACACGCGTTGCCGATTTAGTCTTTCACCGATTGAAGAAGACACCAGAATCCGAGTCTGAGAACTTTTATCTTGAAGCCTAAGTAGGGATAAGCCAGCGCCTAATACACGTTGCTGGTTAGTCTTTTGCTGTAAAAAGGACAAAAGCCCATATATTTAACATTGTGGTAGGTTGTTATTCATAACACCAAAATCCGCACCTTATATGCACGGGGAACTTTATCTCGACTCCTAAATAGAGAAAAGCCTATGCCTAACACGCGTTATTGGTTTAGTCTTTCACCGATTGAATAAGACACCAGAATCCGAGTCTGGGGACTTTTATCCTGAATCCTAAGTAAGGATGAGTCAGCGTCTAACACGCGTTGCCGGGTAGTCTATTCCCGTAAAAAAGATAAAGTCTACGTATTTAATACCGTAGCACTAAGAGAGTTAACTCTCTTAGCACAACGTTACATATAGAATGAACTTAAATAATCTGCATGCTAGCCCGACTCGAACGGTAGTCGGTAAAGACACGTCAAATCCGTTGAAGGCTGAGGGTTTACCAAAAATCATAAGTCTACGTCTAACACACGTCG